TTACGTGCACAATACGTGCCCTGACTTCGAAAGTGCAGTGATAGGAAAAGAAGGTGTGTTAAAGTCGTGGCGACAGCGGTGAGCAAGTCCACATTTCTCGCCTCAAGAGAGGGAGCATTACTTCTGCGCCACGGCGACGCTTGATGCAGCCGTGGACCATTGAATATTTCAAACGACACCACCTCCAAACAAATTTCGAGCGCTCATAAATTACTTGCAAAACTCACTCAGTGGTTTTGTCTACATATACGTAAACAGCATTCATATCTCTATCCATTGGCATGTCTCCACTCAAATCTCCTCGGGAAATTGTAATGTTTCCTGGTTAGACCCTGTGACGACAGAGGCAGTTCTACATAGGTCCAACCTTTATCGATTCAAAAAAGGTTTCGACTTTGTTAGGACAGAAGCAGTTGCAAATACCAGCGGAAGGAAGTGTTCCTGTCCAATATCAAAGGGTATGATTGGGATATTCGAGGAAAGGGTACCTAACTTCATGACCAGAACGTCGCTCTATCGAAGAACATTTTATGGAAGTTGGGAGCAAAAAGCAACGATATGATTGACAGGCTTGCAGTATTCCTGCAAGTCATTGACTGAGGCGGTTCGCGCCATGGAATGGTGTTAGTGTTGGCTCTACGAAGAACTGGGTAGGCGTCAAATCACCCTGGTAATTGCTCGATTAGCCGGAGGCGTGCTATGAACAAGAGTGAAAGTCCCTAAATCAAACAGCACAGAACCGAATGCAGCTTTGTGACATTAAGCCAAGTCATGAGTGTACGTGCGAAGGTTGATATTAGGAGGCATATTTGAGACCAGCATCCAAAAACACATTCAAGAGTATAGGTCCAATGTCACACTATCACTTCGACTTGGAATCCTTCTCTAAAAAGAAAAGATTAGCATATCGATTGGCAGATTGATTTGAACTTCTCGGGCAATCTATGTATTATGCTACGCTTATGCTTTTTAGAAATCTCGACTAAACAAGTCTCACGAGAACGAATAAGTTAGCTACCGTTGGATAGCATGACGATGATATGGCATTTTCTCTTTCCTCTGCAGCGCACCAAAACACGGCTTGAGTACGTTACAATTAGTCACCTGGAGTGGGGAGAGGACTCCCTACTCTTACGATTACCAACAGGTTGAGAAAGATACCGGATGCGGAAGACCTTGCTCAACGCATATGCCAAGGTTATGTTTTCAATCTGGTGAAAGCAAGGAGAGAGAATACTGAAAGATGCTCGCCGAGGGGTGTACAGTGACAAAAGACGCTTGAACTCGGCTCACGATGTACTTGACAGAATTACCCAGTGATCCCCAAAGATAACACAAAGGACGCGTCGGGGCGAAAATAAGGACATAAAATGAGCCCCACTACCGGAATCGCCGGCGTTTATGCCCATCGACTGATGATGTGTCAGACGAGTGTCGACGCGATACAGGTTGAGCCATTTACACGTTCAGTATGCAATCAGTTGACAACCGGGTGGTGATGTAATGTTCCACCCTTATTCTGTTATTTTCTGCTATTCGTTTTGCTGCTGCAGTCATTTTTTCTAGATTGCTGCCTTAAGAGCATGAAAAAAGTGGGTTATTCCTGCTGCTAATGGTTTTTTCAACTTACGCTTACGAGTGAATGAATTTTGAAAGAAATTTTCTGCTGGCTCTAGTCAGCTAATCTTACCTGAACCCACACTTTCGCAATGACACACATTGTATAGCTCTTCAAAGATCCCTTCTATTTAACTTTCCTAGTCTTATTTTCGTCCAGCCCCTTCCTTAACGACTTTTTTGAAGCCATTTATAACTTCAGGAACACCTGTTTGCAAGCTTTCCTCGCTTCCATCGCACTATTCTCCACCTTCTCTTTCATTTTTTTGTTACAATCTGGATAACTCAAAATTATAGTAAACTGAGCCTTTAAAATTGTAGTATGCCCGCAGCTGCAGGAAGTCTAGTGATCTATAGTTGTCGTTCGGCAATGTGGGTTAAACTAAACATTGTCAGTCTGCTCAAAACTTTCGCCTCAACCTAATACAGACGTATCCAGTGCTTCCACGCTCCGTCACTGCTCAATATCAAAAGGCTCAATTTGACTTTAGAACCCGAACCAGTTTTTTATGACAGGAAAAGCTTACAGCTTAACGGTTTAATTGGCTGATCGGCACTCCACATTGTGCGTATAAGTGCTGACGCTGATGAGCTATGGCATAAAAGCCATTAAGAAGGCGAGAGCGAACGGGAATTCGGCGGCAAAAGGAATGAAAAGCACGTTGCCCGAAGTGCGGAAGTACGGGTTCGAGTGTCGCCTGAGCCCGAAGCTGCCGTTTGCTCACAACATGCCAACCTTGTGGGACTTTCACATCGCGTACTGCGGCGAGATAACATCACTTAATATGAACATCAAATCTTTACATTCCTGTAAACAAGGTCTCCGAGAATTTCAAAAATTGTGGTGAGACTCCGACCTACCTTCTGTTTCTCTCCCCCACCGAATATTTTTTGATGCATTGACTGTTTCCGGGACACTCCTTTGCCGTCTTTTCTTCCTCCGCTTAGCATTCCTCTTTTTAGCGTAGCGTCTGCGTGTGACCCATCTGAAACCGATAAGGCGCTGTATTGAAAAGCTTCAATACTGCAACATGAATCAGTTGATGTACGCCCATTCACTATTATCAGTCTGTGAACCACAGATTTATTAAAACTTGGTTTGCTGAATGTGCTCATTTCGGAAAGTTGCATGCAGTACTTATTTGATCTACCGAAAATAAAGACCTACTGAAAATGCCAACAAGTTAATTTCCCCCTACACTGATACTCGTATCATGAAGCGTTCAGCTCAAACTTTCCTCCCAAATTTCACACGAGGGATGGTGGTCAACGCCGTAGGTGATTTCGAGCGCTGACCTGTTCCAAATCTGCTAAACGGTTCTGGAACAAAATTACAGAATCACTTCCTTTCTGTGTTATGACGCTATGCTGAACAGATCACCGAACTGAGCAAAGCCGTAGCTGTTCAACGGTGGCGCAACGGGTAGGTAGGTGGACCTGTAGGCATGGCATCTAGGTTTGACTTATTTATGTATGCGCTTGTTTTACTTTTCCATAAAATGCGTTCTAAACCTTTGCAAAACGATTTTGGGCTATATTGGCCACTTACGGAATTAACTACTTTCAAGGAACACTAGGAAGGTACAACAAGAGAACTTTTTATTGCCCCTCACTGGCCGAATAAGGGTGGAGGTCAGTTCGAGCAAAAGAGAAATTTCAAGTATTCGCCAAAAACGCGCTACAAGGGGTTTGAGGACATTAAGGAAAAAGATGCTAAAAGTTGCATAGGATAATGCTCTTCAACACGTTACCAGCGAAACATACTGTTGGAGTACCCTCATTCTTGCGGCATGATATGAGCACCACCTAGGAAGGAAGAGGAGGCAATAAAGAGCTTTTCTACCTCTACCTTTCGATGATATGTGAACGAGCTCGTAATTTACTACGGAGAAGACGAGTGCGTTAAGAGCGGTCACAATGATCCTCGGCGGTCGTCTGATGATAACAGTGACGACGAACCCATCCCGTCGGGAAAGAAACCTCGTTCGTTGTGGTGAGATAGAGGTCGCGAAGTGAAACGTAGCCTCCGGGTTTGTGATCTGGCCCATGAGTTTCAATTTTAGGCGCTCATAGAAGAGTCCATAGCCTTCTATAGTTCGAGTGCCAAAAGAGGGCGCACTCTTTCGTGCATGAAAAACAAGCTTTGTTCCATGAGTGTCATCTACGGACATTATGGGTGAGTGAGGAACTATGAGCTTTTGAATTAATCTATTTTCCACTATCTGTCTGACTGCGGAGGTCGACGGGTGAGTTGGGAGGATAGATTATCATGAAGTTAATAGAGAGATCTCATTGCACGGCAAACGTTTCCAATGGATAAGGCATGACATCAACGACGAAGTCCTGATAAAAGACAACTTCAAAGCAAGTCGTAGATGGGTTCAGGTACCTGACTCTAGCCTTGGTATCATGTCCGACCGCATTACCCCCTTTACCTAGAAAAAGAGTCTCTTGACAACTATTGGTTGTCATATGTGCACACAAATCGATCGAAAGTTTTTCCCGGTGTTTTTTGGTCAGTTAACTTCTACCAGTACTTTGGAAATGCGGGCAGTGCTCCTCGACTCTACGGATTTTCTTCACTGTGGGTTCTCTCTCACTGAAGGATACCAGCCGGCTAGCGAAGAGGCTACGTAGGGCGTCCCCAAATAGCGGATAGGAAAGTGAATCGCTGACCAAAAGTCGCCAGCACATGCCCACACACGCAGGTCAGGGAATGGACTCTTGTTTTTGCTGTGCTGTATCGATATATCTTCTGTATTCACAGGTGAATTCAAGCCTACGTGTGTGGAGAGTCCATGGATGCAGTTGGTATCCTACGCATTGACTCAGCCAAAACCTTGCATTTGAGTGACTGGGAAGTATTTGGGAGGCAATTCGGGGCCGCCTTCAAAAACAAAGCCGCTCGTCCACTTCGGGATAGCCTGGCAAACCCCCGGAGTCAACCCAACCCCACGTTAGAGCCTGGCAAGCTGCAGCTGGATATTCACTCGCCAAATTATAATAGTAATATGAGTGGGACTCATTCCCGCGGACCTGAGGGGGCCTCCAAAATGGAAACGTTTGGTAGGACCGTTCGAGAAAGGCTGCTAAAATCTTAGGCCCAATATAGGCCGCCCAAAAGGATATGGACTAACATGGCGATCTGTACTTTCAACGCACGAACGCTTGCATCGGAAACGTGCATATAAGATCTGATGATGCAAGATCAAGATAGGAAGTTCAGCTCTGACGTCATCGAACATGCGATAACAGAAGCGTTGGCTGCGTAGGTGTCTCGTCAACATGCACTTGACCATGAACATCGTTAAGCTACGAGAGCTTGACAAGAATGGAATGAGCAGAGTGAAACGCTGCCCGAGTTCATCATGTTGACCCACACCATGCATGGTAACTCGCAGTTCCAGAAGCCCTCTCATTTACGATGGACATGGGAGTCACTTGGTGGACAGTTCCGTGACGAAGTAGACCACATCATCTTCAGTCGGAGGTTTTGCCTGATTGATGTCGCTGTTGTTCCGAAGCTCTACACGGAATCGGAACATAGTCATCCCCACGCTAGATCCTGCTTCTCAGTGCGCGGAAAGAGAGCACGACTATGCTTAGGGAACATGCCCCAAGACCTCCATCAACTGGGACCACTTCGCTTCCCTTGCGTGTAAATGGGAAGATTCCGTTATCGACAACATCGAAGAAGAATACAATGGGCTCATGCAACATCTCCACACTAGTGCTACGAAAGCAGAAAATCTACGAGTAGCCAAGGGACGTCTTTCTTTGAAGACTTTTGAGCTGATACCGCGCGTAGAATCACGCGATCTCCAGGCAATTCTAAACAAACATCCGAACTTGCAAAGCTATACAGAGAATCGATAAAGGAAGATGTGAAATAGAGGACAGAGATTGGAAAATGTATTTGAAACATAAAGGAAAGAATTCTTCCAGAAATGGAGGTCAAAATCGACTAGATGCACAGAAGCCTTTTAGTTCCAGAGAAAGTAAAGTTTCAAAAATTTGAGTGAATTCGTAAGAGAGTGGAAAATATCTTTGATGTTATGAACGAGGCCGCCGAAGTTGGAACAAGCATTCGCAAAGCCCAATGGAGCTTAGCCAATCACATTACAATTACATTTACACCGAGATGACTTCCCTTGGTGGTCTTGGTATTGTGCGCTACGGAACACTTACTGCGTTCCGAAGGGCAATGGAGAGGTCATCCATGATTTTTATTTGGATCTCTTCGACAGCCTTGTCTATCTCCCCACATACTATCTCAGGCAAGACGGATATGTCGCTTCTTTGGTTCTCCCTTGCGAACATCGACATACCAACACGTCGATGAAGAATTGTACGACGCGCGGTTCTGATAGGATCAAGCCACAAAGTCTTCCATCTGTTATCGTAAAACTCTGGCTAGGCTCTTCACGCGGTACCTGTCGAAATGCAGGATGCCCACGTCGTGGAAAACTAGCAAGATTGCGTTGCTGTATATCGCGTCATCCTAAACAGGATTGGCAGAATATTAGATGAAGGACAGCCATGCGAGCAAGCAGGGTTTCGGGGGGGGGGGGGGAGGGGGGTTCAGCACAATCGATCATATCCACACTGTTACAAAACTCACTGAAGTATCGCGAGAGTACAAAATACCGTTATCTCTCACGTTCATAGATTTGAGGAAAGTCTCTGATGCCGTCGAGACAGAAGCGGTAATTGAAGTCCTGAGCAAAGTGGGTGTTCCTACACAGTATGTAGGGACGCTTCGTGAGCTCTACAACAACTTCACAACCAGGATCTTGCCATTCAATAAAGAAGTCATCATGGACGTGAATAGCGGGGTTTGACAAGGCGATACCATCTCGCCAGAATTTTTCGATGCCGCTCCCAAAAACATCATAATTCATTTGAAATAAGAAGATTTAGTAGTGTAGGCCGATGGTCGCTATTTACATCATCTCAGCTTTGCAGAGGACACCGAACATCAAGCAGACGCAACGAATGCTGGCCGAGTTTGACGGTGCTTGTAGGAAGACCTTTTTGAGACCGAACTTATCAAAGACGATGTTCATGTTTCGATGTTCGAAACGGATTGGTACCTAATACACCTTTCACGTTAAACGAAACGAATATTCCCGAAAGTTCTAGCCATGCGTGTCTAGGTCGGAAAGATCTAGATACGCATAGCTAGAGCTTTCGGGGATGATCGTTCCGTTCTCCGATCTAGCTCCGGAGCTGAGCAGAAGGAAACGCGCCGCGTGAGCAGCATTTAGAAATATCGGGGTGGCAGTGAAGAAGATAAAGAAGCTCCAGCTCCGCGCTCTCTTTTCCAAAACTGCGGTCCTTCCTCCTTTAGAATACGCCTCAAGACTTTGAAAACATGATGTGCATGCAGTCAGCGTCATTCAACATGTTGTAGAAAGGACGATGCTTTCACTATGCAAGCAAGTGCAGAAGAGAAACTGAAACTCCAAACTCCGTCATCAAACGAAGATCAGGGGTGGCGCTGAATACGCGAAGAAATTGAAGATCAGGTGGGTCGGACAGGTTAAGCGATATAATGATGGTCGTTGGACCAGGTCGGTTACTGTCTGTCTCCCTCAAGACGTCAAGGGAACACCAAGACGGCCGCCAACGCGATGATCAGACTTCTTCACGAGAGCTGTGTTGAAAGGAATGCTGCGCCTTATGTCCATGAAGCGAAAACAATCCACTGGGCCACTATCACACTACAATTGCTTTATTACCGGTTAATTTATTATTACTGACGACCCTAACGCCTTGTTCGTCGATGCGCGCTCCCGCGCTTTGATCTGCTCGCGAGTCCACATGGATACGGACACCCATGTATAAACCCTCGACGCTAGGAGTGGCGTCTCTTTTTATTATGTTCGGATTGCTCTCGACAACATATAAAATCGATATCAAGGGGGCAAAGAAAGCAAGAGTCCGGGTGTTAGCACCGGTGGTTGAACGAGAACCAGTTAAACAAATTTTAAGTGATAAAGGAGTAATCTTAGCTACTCAATTATATTGTAGTGGGAAAATAGCAACGTTCACAACAGTACAACATTGTATTCTCATACGGAGCTAGAGAATTTCAACCCTGTCCTTATCTTCGCTGATTGATATTCGTGTCGTCATTAAGAATCGCGGTCATTGGATAAGTAAGATTCACTCTGAGTCAGTGATGGCCTCACCAGCCAACTACGAACAGTTATTGAGAACTACGTCAGAATCAGAATTCCGTGAAGATATTGATAAGATATGCAAAGCGCATTAGTAAAAGAGTTAGCGCGGATGGGATTGAAGGAGATAGGGCAAAAACTGGCCATCTTCGAAGATGTGAGATTCATTTGCGTCGGTGCAGCACAGAAGTTAGCTTAATCGGTAGGCCAGGTCAACGGTAAACTGGACGAGACTCTGGCCAACATCAATAGCCTAAAAGTGCTAATCAGAATCTGAACGGTGAAGTGCATAAACAAAAATTACAGGCCAAACAGTTTCGCCAAAAAGTCGAAGACCTGGGCAATAACCGCTCAAGAGAAGACGAACTCCCCGAGTAAGATGACGAGAATCACCCTTTCATAAAGTTAACGCATCCACAGCTCTTTATGATTCACGAAATGAGCACATACCAAATGTTCTACTGCAGGACTCGCACCAGTCCTCGATGGCTGTTTTCATAGTCCGCCGGCCGGGCGGCGGACTATGAATGCAGCCGATGCGATCGACCCGCAGATACTCAAGGAGTACGCCGAACGAAGAG